CAGGAGGTCCGGTAAGCTCGGTAGGCCAGCCACCTAGCAACCTGTGCACTGCACGCCGGTTGGCCACCGCCGTTACAGAGGGTTAGGGTATATACCTATACGTATACATATTCAGCGCCCTCGGGACGACACTCGCGGTCTCATCGACTTACGCGGTCTGTGTCGTATCCGCGAAGGTCCTGACGTTTACAGCGCAGGCGTACCGTCCGCCCCCTACATCACGTGGGAGGGAGTGGGGGTGGGGGATGGTTATAGTGCTTCCCAATCCGCTAGACCCCGCCTATGACCCTCCAGGCATCAAGAGTGAACTGTCCCCTGGTTGGTTCGCTGCTGGATCCTTTCGAGGGCGGGGATAAACAGGGGCTGTATATTCCAGTCGCAACCACCCCCCTCCCCTCCCCTCCCCACCCCTCAGTGGATCCTCGTTACGGTGGACGAGGAGTCAGTGTCACTCAGAACGGGTCGCCAAGATGATCGGCAGCCTTATCATCGCGCAACCAAACTGCCATTACCGTGGATCAGAGGTAACGAACGTGACCGGTCAGTGAATAATAATAAATCGTGGTGATCGTCGTCAGACTCGCGACCGTTTTGGTTGCTAAATCGTCGGGCTGATATGACCTGGTTCTACACGCGTCCACCACCAGTCAACGTAACGGGCGTTTACAGTGCGACGGTGAACCACGGACCGTACCGACTGGAACGTAACCCGTGTACCTAAGGATCTTGTGTGACCAGGCTGACGGGTAACCGTACGCCCACCGTCGCCGCGAAGTGTCACTCGGTGATTACACCGCCCCCACCAGCGATGCTGGACCTAAAGAGCAGCGGGACCACCGCCGCGGAACTGCCACGCACCACAGCGTTCACCAATCTGTCGATGCTGTTCGCCGGTACGTTCGTGTCGTACCTGTTCGTCGTTCGTATGTCTGATCGATGGTGACGATCTCTATACGTCGATGTACATAGTGGGTGTAAAATGAATGTACATTGCTGGCGAAAAGCTTTTTTCGTGCCACTTCGACAGTTATGAGTAGAAATGGGTTTTCTCGAAATGTCGACACCCCTTGATGACCAGGAATGTTTCGAATTGGGGGCTTACAAGAGAAGCCACGGAAGTGTCCCCCTCCGATTTTGACGAAACTTCGTATGTCCGTTAAGCAGTCAAAAATAAGGAATACGTATTTTTTTTTATCGGCTGATACACGAGTTTAAGGGGTGAAACCACCCCTCGAAGTTTCGATCAGAAATTTTTTTTTTATAAACAAATTATATTTTGGACAATTTGTTTGTACTATATTGTTCTACATAAAACCGCAAACCTCGTCCATTGAAAGTTTTCATGTATCTCCTCTAGTTTTCGAGATAGTACTTTCGGGTCGAAACTTCGAGGGATGGTTTCATCCCTTAAAGTCGCATCTTAGCCGACAAAAAAAAAATACGTATCCTTTATTTTTGACGGCTTAACAGACATATGAAGTTTCATCAAAATTGGAGGGGGGCACTTCCGTGCCTTCCCTTGTCAGTGGACAATGAACACATGCCATAATACTATGAATTTACACAACTATAGTTTTAGGGGAAATAATTTTCTCGGAAAAGTCGGTATTAACCCTTTAACGCCCAAATTTTGTTTTAATTTTTTATTTTTCAGTTACTTACTGTAGTATTATTTACTGGCAGTAAAATGTAGGATCTACTAAACCATCGAGTGCTAGTGCTAAAAAAAGGGATAAGTGAATACACTGTTAGGGTTGTGTTTGTGTTTTATGTGACTATGGTTAATAAGATTAACATTTTTTATACCATACCTCTGTTAACTAAACGTATATTTTTAACGATTCGTGACTTTAGGAACAAAATAAAATGTGTCTGACTACGTACGACATTTTTCACTGCGGCAGTCAATGTGTCAAGGAGCAAATTTCGTCGTTCTAGTTCTTAATTGTTCTATCTCCACTAGTTTCTAAACTGAGACAACTTGAGGTTAAAGTTTACGAAGTTTAATATTATAGAAGCAGAAAAATAGTGAAATAATCAAACACACTGTAATATCATCTACCGAATAGCTATTTATTACATTATTTAACAAAATTTTTAGTTGATTATCAACAGAAACTTTTAATTGTTGTTAGCATTTGGAGATACAACAATTAAGAAAGAAGAAACACTTTCAGAGTTTCGGAGTTAGAAGTTTAAAGAATATTTGTTGTTTTCTTTACATTGCAGTGAATTTGTATTCTTTGGATCAATGAGACGTACGTGGGTTAATTAATTAAATTTTTTTATAAATGGAGTTAGAACAGTTAAGAATCATACGGTGATCGGAAACTTTTCGCCAGGAGTGTATATGTAATGTGTGTCTGATTGGTGGTACAACTGCTCTCCTAGGTGGAGGAGCGAAATCGGACACTCTTTGGAGTAACGTTTCAGATTTTGTTGACATTTGGATATGACTATATCCTCGATTTTTTTTAACTTTTTCAATAGTGCCTCGCTATTATAATATTACATTTCTTAAAAACAATTCCAAAATAAATGGTGAAAGCATACTTTTTTTAACTGAAAAAATTTTTATTAGGTACTCTTATGTCTCTACTATACGCATCCACAAAATTCATTTTCATCGGTTTGTTAGTTCAACAGTTATAATTTATTGAAAAAAAGGTTTACACTATATTTCAAGCAGCTGTATAATCAACAATTTAAAAAATGTTCAGAAAACCTTCGAGATACGTTCGTATATGTCTAAAGACTAAAATATATCTGAGTGTCACCAAAATCCGAAATATTACTCCAAAAAGTATCCCATTTCGCATGGAATAGAATTGAAACGTAAAAATTTCAATTTTTATAAGATGATACAATATCTCCATGAGTGGCTAGACACTTGGCAAAGAATTATTTAATCTCACTACTTGCTTTAAGATTAAGATGACGATCTTAGATACTTGTTGCTTTTCACTATCTATTATCCGAATAAAATTCTGCCCAATTCTGATATACAGTGCCGATCGGTTCTTACGTGGCGTCGCACCTAGCCGCCGGATATATGAGATATTTGTACAATGGGGGTTTCTGGTTGAGGATTCGTGTGGTGGAGTGAAGATAATATGGCTCCCCGAAATGATTCAAACATTTCATTCTCCATAACAATCAATAAAAAAAAAACTATTTACTGAAAATCGACAGAATCATCTACATCAAAGGATTGCCGTGCCCCAGTCCATCAGAGGACTGTAAAGGTCAGAAAACTGGACTGGAAATCGGATAATTCTTGTCGTAGAAACGGAATATTAGCCGTGAAAGCGATTTCCGCGTTCCTGGGGTTAATGTGAAATTCGAGGCCAGCCCCCCTCCGTTAATGGAGTCCTGTGTTCCCCGATCAAACGAAGGGGGGTGTGGAGGCCAATGAAGACGAAAAGGTCTCCGTTCCGCGGGCACCTAAGTCGTTGTTTGCACAGAAAGACCGTAGATTTTCTGCGGCAGCATGACGTACTGCCGTCGCCGTCTCGCGTATGTACACATCGGGTCCCACCCTCGTGCCAATAACTGCCAAATGAAAATATATCTGTCCGCAAACAGAGCCGCCGGCGGCGTGGCGAGGACAGCAGCTCCGTGAACAAGCCACGGGTGTGCGTAAAATCGAGCAGGCTCGACGATTTTATTACGGATCAGGAACGCGTGGCGGCGGTGATTTTTTAAGCGAGTGTCAATTGTTGTTTCGAACGGTGTCGTTGTGAAATATATACAGTAAATCTTTGATGAGTGTTCGAAGGCTCCTCGGGACTTGACAAGGAAAGTCTCCAGATGTAACGATGACGTTTTTAATGAGGTTTGTCAGAGTGATAGAGCTTGGAATTCTGAAGCCAATGATCTTTGTTTCGGCTGTTTATAGCCATTAGTTTAAGAAATATTTAATGTTCAGTGCCGAGGAGCCTTCGGACAATGATCGAGGATGTACTGTACAATGTAAGAGGTCTTTGGAACAGTATTCCCTGTCTATAGGTACCATGCTAGAACCATCCACAGAATCACCAAAAGTGGCCGAAAATGTGTAATATTTATGAAACAATATTTTCTTGTTCAGAATACTTAATGTTCTATGTAGAGGAGCTTCCGAACACACATCGAGGATTTACTGTATTCGTGAATTCTCGATTATGTTCTTCAACACAATATTATTCGTAGATCCCTGTTCAAAGTACTCATTTCTCGAGCCCAGCGTAATGGTGTTTCGGATCACGAACGACGATCGAAGTTACGCGAAAAATCGTGCGTAAAGCAAGCGCGAAAAAGGGATCGTTCGATGGTTAGAACGTAACCAGTCGGTTCGCCCTAAATTATATTTTTCAAAACCACGTATCACGCAGACCCAGTGTCATTAAGTCGCCGTAAAGATTTTTCCGGAGGATTGTTCTCCCCGGGACCGGCGATCAGATATGTTTTACGACCGCTACGCGATTCCCCGAACTGATTAACTTGCAATTGCAGACGGTATACGTCTTCTAATAACGTGACCTAAAAAAAAAAAGAAAAAAAAGGAAAAAGGAAAGAGTAAAAGAGAGGGACGCGTAATCTTTGGCGAAGGATCACGAAGTACCAGCGACACGTGCCCTAGGTAATACACTTTTCCTTCGCTCGATCAATGGCGACTTCGGACTTCCGACGCGGCCAGGTTAATCCAACAATTTCGTGCAACCTTCTGAGATATTATTTCTTGATCATTGGGAAAGTGATATTGAGTTGTTCGGAACGTTCGTTGAGTTTGTTAACCTTCGTCAGGATAAAATGGAGAAGAGCCTCTGAGACTTTCAGTATAGAATACAGTAAATCCTCCATGAGTGCTCGAAGGCTCCTCGAGTTCCTTAAATACTGGCGTTTTGATATAAAATAAAAATGTTCTACATTCTACAATGTTTTCTTTTATTGTTAGAGCGTGACGGTAAACGAGACCGAGATTGTTCATGTAAAAAAAGTTTTCTTTTTTTTCATTGCAGATGCCAGCAGCTCGTACAAAGGGGGCTGGAGCCACGCCACGTCGCCGGCTCCTGGACAGGGTGAGTTCCATCGTTTTTGTTTGTCATCTCTACAGAGTTTCTCCCCTAAACTGCAGACTTCATGCATTTATATCTCATATGGCTCTGTGAAATACAATAAACAACAAAACTTTCCTCGGATCCAATGATTTTTCTACTTCCGTCTGAACCCAATAAGATACTTAACAGTAAAAACAAATTTCTACATTTGCTCCAGTTTTTACAAATTACTTCACAAAATGCTAGTTTTGCATAAAAATCCGCAGTCTACTGATCACATTTCGTGGTCCACCCTGTACACACAGCCGCCCACGAATACCCCGTGGGCCAAAAGGGGGGTGATGGTGGCGGTGGTCGGGTGTAAGTTCACGCGTCGCGACTTCCCAGCTCGCTTCGTCGAATGGGACGTCGTCGGTCCTTGTGTGCGTGTCCTCTAGGCACGGGGTTGCACGTGTGTGTGCGCTCAAGCGGGCGTGGGTGGGTGGGTGGGAGGGTGGGCATCCCGTCGCTTTGTGGCGCGTTGAACCGCGGCCCCCTTTGTCGACGCGGCGGAGAGAGAAACCCGTAGCCCCGGGGGCTGTGTAGAGACGCTCGGCCGCGCGCAACACCGACACATCGCGACGGCGGCGGCCCCACCCAGCGGGAGCACACGGGAGCGCCACTAACGCTCCCGCGCAATCATCTCGCGGAGATCAGAGAGAGCCCTGCCCCGCGGGCAGGTTGTTATAAGCGGGGCTCCTCTGTCCCCACCCCCTTCCCTCCACACGGTTGCCTAGACAGGTTACAGCCGCCGCCATGGATCACCTAGCAAAGGGCGAATTAACGCCGCTTTGATTGTGTCGCCCCTGGAACCGTACGGAATGCAGAATTGTTAGAGGATCGGGGCGGGTTTACATACATCGAGACTGGAGGGATTGAAAACAGTTATGATGTCGGTTTCTGTTCTGGAAACTGTTGTGAGATCGAAGTAATTCTATAAGTGTTGTGGATATTACGGTTCTGGCTTGTATCGGTTTTGATTCTGGAAACTGTTATGAGAGCCGAAGTAATTGTATAACTGAAAAATCACTTTACTATACTAGATAAGTAATATATATATTTAATGATCGATGTAAAGATCGATTACAGAACCATTTTGGTACAGATAAAGAACCGAAAAATAAAACCAAGATACGTTCTAAATCCATGTTTAAAAGGGGAACAACAAGCAAAAGAAAATATAAAACTGACACACCTAAAGGCTGTTTGGTTTTAATAGGAACGTTTATTAAGTGTCGTTGGTCGTCCCCACACAGGAGAAGTTAACACGTACTGACACAATCATCTCGCGGAGATCACAGCCCCGCCCCGGGGGTTAGACCGATGGTAAACGGCTTGCGGTTTCGATGCCTCGTTAAATTACAATCGCCTCGGATCGACTATCAAAGAGGGCACACCCAAGGTTTAATTCACACATATACACGGGACCAGTGCTTCCTCGTGTAAAATTTCAGAAGAGACTTTAAAAATACTGTCTAAACTTTTCCACCCTCTTAACCCTTTAGTTCCCACTATCACTATACAGCTACATACCCTGAATTAACGGAAATAACATGTTAATATTATCTGTTTTTTCATATCTGAGAATATATAATAGTTTCTTCCAGTCCTGTATTAAAAGCTTATCGGTAAAATAAGGCATTATTAGTCCTTTTTCCTGTAAAAAAACGAATTCCAGTACTGGGTATTGTTACAAATGCAGTAGAAACTTGTAAAACTCTAATTGATTTCAAATATTTCAAGGAGGTTTGTTGATTAAAGGTAAGAAAAAATGGAAGATTAAATGGCCAAATGTTATTAACGAGCATAAAGACAGATAAGGGAAATAGCAAGTATCTCTTCATAAGGGATGAAACATTGTTTTTTTTTCTCGAGTGTTATTCGAAATTTAAGTTCAATTCGTGTTATATTCGAAAGTTAGTTATTGTCTCCTCCCGCGATCCACCGCCTCTGAAAATACCATTTGATCTCGGCTAACGCGTGCTTCGTTGCTGATTCAGTTTACAGTTTGCGGGATAACACAAAAGGGAGGCCAGGTCGCCGTCACGAAGTTCATGAAATCAGGCGACGACGCGTGTTGCCCCCCCAAAGGGGGTGCTTTGCGGCTCTCCAGCCCCGTGAAATTGAAATTACAAGCTGTCCTCGCGCCACCTGGACCGACATATTAATTCCCCCGTTGCTCGTGACGAGCCAAGAATCGCCTCGAGTACCATGAATATTTCGAGAACTGCGAAGAGAAGACTTTTTCAATAGTAAAAGTTATTTGGTCCCCCGAAAAGGCAATCCATACAGTCGTCACAAACTTCTTTTAATACGTTTATCGATCATTTTTATCGAGCCACACTTGTATAATTATTACAAAGAAAACGATTTCAAACATAGCAGCGATTGAACCCCCTTAATTGCCGACGACTTGTCGTAGAGTTAAGTTTGAATATTTTTCTCTCACTATCGCTACCTGGTGGCGAATTTTCGAAGCTCCAGGCGTTCGAGTACCTTCGATAGACAGTAAATAACACGCTTACTTCCACAAAAATAACGAAAAGTGACTGAGTTTAGTTTGTTATTAAAATTGTTCTGAAATATTTATTGTCGGATCACCTCGTGTCCAAGACGAGTAAGTTATGAATGAAAATTCTTAATGAAAAAGATTCCAATGGTGTCTCCACGAGACGCCATTTTGTGATACCACTCCGTTTCGTTTCTTCCGAATAATGATCGAATTCAACTGATCGAGCGGATCAACGACGCGCGAAACGATAATTCCGTCGATGTTCCAGCGTTATCTGTCATACATTTGGACAATGACAAACCGATGTTCGGTTCGGCTATGAATTAACACGTTCGCGATAGATCCGTCGCGCACGGGTACGTAATTCGAGCACGGCCATTAATGTTGTTCGCGTGATCGCCGACCAGAAACCCGCCGCGGGTTTCGGTGTAGATCTCTCGTATTCGTACAACACTTCCTAGCCTGCCCTGAACTCAACATTCGACCGATATGTTCTCGCGCGTTTCTGTTCATGCGATACAATAAGAAACTGTAAAATAGATAGTTACGCTTGTTGGATGCTTTTAAAATTGTTTTCGTTCGTAACGTAACACGCTACCATTCACAGAAATTAACGAATTACTATCTGACCCTTGATTCTACTAGAAAATCAATGAAAATCCTATGTTCTATCATCCATCGATGTTGTAACCTTCATTTATCCTTGGAATTCCTATAGCCGTGTCATTGGTGACCAGTCGACAAGGTCATCATGATATCTCAAAAAAAATAAGATATAAAAAAAATCAAATTGTATCCATCTGATGCGTCCCTTAAAATCCCGTATAATTCATTAAAACATTTTCTGATACAAACAATTGGTAACAAGTTATTTTAGATACCAGTTCTTGTTCCCTCACCCTGTCTGTTATTCGTCAAGTCTTAACCATTATTAATAAATCGAGACGTGAAATATTATACAAACTTGTTACAGACCCGTCCGAATGGTCGAAAATCTTACACGTAATAAAAACATGTTGTAAACAATTTATTACATAACACTCTTTTGCTGCATAGTGTAGACGCAGCTTTAGAGGACCCTGGTATATGTATAAGCCGTCCAACCCACGGGGGATATCGACCCCCGTTCACAACCGGGTCTCTCTGCCCAGTGGCCAGGAAAAGCGACTCTAAGACAACTGGTAGAACAATAAAAGTACTCTCCTCTCCTCCCTCTTTTCACGTCCGGCCGCGGGTCCGCCTCGCGTGACTTCCTGACCCCTTCCCCCCACCCTTCATTTCGAGTCGAATCGACCCTCTCGGACCTCTACGGCCGCGTGTGTCTGAGGGCGACCCTAACTTCCCTATGATAATTACGTGCTCCGGGCACGGCGCGTGCCTTGGCAGTTCGCTCACGCGTCCGATCACGTATGTATGCCGTGACTATCGTACACCTCGGAGAGACACCTATGATCCCTGCCCTCCAAAAACCCTCGTTTGGGCCACGTCGAGGATCTCAGAGGTGAGACACGATCGTTTCACGAGGGAAAAAGAAAGAATAGGTAATCGACAGGCAGGCCCTGGAGTTGCTGTGATTCACCTGTGAATGGGAATTAGGAACGAGCTCTAGAGGGTTAACACGGTGGGTAAACGGTTTGACCTTTTTTTGGGGTATGTAGGTGTGATCTGGGGCCAATTCTGAATGATATCATTGTCGTAGAATTGCTTTTTGGTATAGATGTGACGAACGAAAAGTGGTTTTGTGCATCATTGCTTCCTTCCGGATGAATTGTTAACTGATTAAACCTTTCAGACTGTATTTCTTTTAAAAAAATTATTCGATTATACATTTTAATTCAGTTGACTGTTTACATGTTTTGTTTGGAAAAAATGTTTTCTTTTTTTTTAGAAAATTGTTTGTCGTTCAATTCTGAATTCACTAAATCTAGTACAAACATTCAGAACATGAAAACAGTAAACTAAGTATGAACTTTAGTTTACTTCGAACCCAAAACAAAACCTTTAATAAAGGAAAAACAAATGTTTGGCGTAATTTCAGTTCCCTAAACTGATCTATAAAAATCTGAATTTACATAAAAATCCACAGTCAACTTATCATAGTGTCTTTAAATTGAACCGAGCCACCGATAAGCGTAGATATCGAAGCGCGTTCTCGCTGTTTCCGTGGCTGAAGGAAATCCTCGGTCGCGTTAAGATTCCCGGCTGCGACAAGAATCCGTTTTTCTCTCGCCTGACGCGCGCTGTTCGGCTCGCGTCGCGCCCGTTCACGCTATGCGATAATTAGGAAACGATTAATTCTACGCCACGTAACACGTCGTTAGAAACGGGATTTGCCACAGCCGTGCGTTCCTTATCCGACGAACAAAACCGTATTTGCCTCGAGCACGAATCCACCTGCCCAGACCCGTGAGAATCGAGGCGAAGTGACGCTGTCGGGTAATTAATCGAGTTCCCTCGATTTCTGTATTCT